GATTCAGGTTGTGAGGTTCATGAAGCCCATAGTTTCTGCCTGCAGCCACGTCGCTGCACTCAAAGAAACCGATGAAGGTAAAAATCAGATTAAATCCAAGTTTCTTGTTGCTCAGGTGTTCTGACCCGTCTGTCCTGATTCCTCTCCACAGAGACCCGGAAGGTTCTGGTGGTTCTGCTGAAAGCGCTGGTCCAGGACAGCGGAGCAGACTTCCAGGCAGCTGTGAGCTCTCTTCCTGCGGAGCAGCAGACTCAGCTCCACACGCTGATCAGCGCCTCGTAGACCAAACACTAAGACTTTTAATCCCAGAGATTAGAAACGGGCCGTTTGTCTTCTGTTTGCCCAGAATGAAATTAATTCAACCTTTTCACTAAATTTAATCTGAAGTTAAACTAATCTGTTTTGGTTTCTTGTTCCTTTAATCTGATTAATTAATTTTTACCGTTTATTTAACGGTTTGTATTTATCTGTATTAAAGAAGAGTTTACAGATTATTTCCCATAATTTTTATTCTCTTCAGTTGAGGCTCTGAGCCTTTTGGRTTATTTATGTTTGTGTAAAACTGAATTAAAGTGTTAACAGAAGCACACTGTCCCTCCTGCTCATTATAAASGACTCTCTGACCTTCAGAGACACGTCTGAGTTTTAGAAAAGCTTCAAACATAAATTTGTACAAAAGCAGAAGTTGAACAGCGTTCAGCCTCGCTGTGGACGAACCTGAAGGGTTAAAAGGATTTATTCTCTGCTGGGGTTCACTSAAACAGGAAGTTCTGTTTTCATTCTTCCTGTTGGAGATTGGGTTCCTCCTCAGACCTCTSGTTGGTTCTGGGTCTGGGTGAATCCGGACCGCTGCTTGTCCACGTCCAACGCTGCAGTTATCTCCACGGGCGTCAGTCGGCTGGTTTCTGATGGAGGAACTGAGAGGAGAAAGACTTTCACAATCCTCACTCCTTCAAAAGAATCTTCAATTAAGAATTTAAAAAATAATCAAACCCTCAGGCTGGTTTAAATTCCAGGTCTTATTTTTAGTTTCTGAGACACTGAGAGGTCTGCAACCTACGGTTCCAGAGCCACATTTGGTCCCTCTGCAGCAGCTTCATGTAGCCTTGACCAAAATTAACTTTAATAAGAATATGATGATAGTTTGTGACTGAAATCAACAAAACAAGAAGTAAAACATATTTAAAACATGTTAGCAGTTTGTTAGCCTGTTAGCTGCTTCATTAATTTCTCTGAAATCAAGTAAATTACAATTTTTTAAAAACCTTTTAAGTTGAGAAAAGCATTTAAGTCATTAAAATAAGACAGAACTCCTAAAATTGAGTTTATATTTGACTAAAGATAAATATATTTTTTTCTTTAATGAAAAAAAATAGTCTAATTTTTATATTCTATAAACTTTATGCTTCATTATTAAAAAGTGGGATGTTTTATTCAGGGTTCCTGCAGA